CTCTCTCTCTCTCTGAGTTCACTCCCAAACAGACATCACACGTGCTTCGCTGTGCGCACTTGGAACGAATGATCTCGTTTCCCTCTGAAGTGGTACTGTCTCTTATACACATCTAGATGTGTATAAAAAACAGGTGTTCCATGACATCATGATGGCAAACTATGTGTGGGGAGAGAAAAAATATAAAGCTGACCTCGATAAAGAGGGAAAAAAAAAAAAAAAAAAAAAAAAATAAGGGCACAGCAGCACTGGGAAGGAAGAGGGGTTGGCAGGGCTTTGGGGAGAAGGAAGAAGGGTGACGATTGGCGAAAGAAGCGGGGTGAAGGGAGGGAGGGTGGTTGCAAGGGGTACCGAACAGGTATGTTATGCATTCATTATGCATTCTTCCATGCATGCAAGAAGCCCTGCCGAGGAAGGCGGGTGAGGAGTGGGAAAAGAGGTGCAGGCGAGGGGGAGGAGGAGGAGGGGGAGGGGGGGGAGGGAGGGTGGTTGAGCAGGTGTGTCAGAAAAGTATTTTTAGTATTTTTTACTATTTTATTTTAACAGTTTTACAGGAATAGCAATCGGTGCTGTTACGACAGGGGAATGAATATGGGATTTCTTTTTTTAGCATTTAATAAAATTGCTAATGATAAGAATAATAATGCAGGAATGCTACATTATACTTCAGGAGGGAATGCTCAATTTTACAACTCCTCTTGTAGTGCGTGGTGGTCCTTTTTTTTATTATTATTTTTAAGAAGGAAGACAATAAAGGGGCCAATTAGGTGCTGAACCTTCTCAAAGATAAGAATCTTATTTTCAATCAGTGCCAGGACTTCAGATCGTAGCTTTACAGTTTCTCCCCTGTAACATGGAAGGGCCCCTTCTAAGAAAGGGGGATGAGGAGTGGGGATAGAGGCGAGATGGGGCCGGGGAGTTGTGCAGGTGTGCCGGACGAGTATTTTGTACATTCTTCCCTGTAGTACGGAAGACCCACTGCCAAAAACAGACAAGGGAAAAGCACATAAACAGCCAGATCCGGTTGGAAATCCAGAAACTACTCTGGTCAGATGTGCAGGTGCTATAATCGGCTCGTGAACGTCCATAGGCGTAGATGCATTCTTCCTAAGCGAGTCGTGTCCTTGCAAACATAGATGGGTTTTTTTTTTCCAGTCCTACTGAAATACAAAGACACATTGTGAAAATGACTACTTCAGAAGGGGAGTGACACAAGAAAGCCCCCCCCAACCCTTCTTCCTAACCAGTGGTGATCATCCTCTTCGTTCTCCGTTCTCTGTTCTCCATTCCTTGTTCTTTGTTCTTCTCTTCCTCCTCCTCCCTCTCCTTGTCCTTCTCCTCCTCTTCCTTCCTTCTTCTTCCTTCTTCTTCCTTCTTCTTCCTTCTTCTTCCTTCTTCTTCCTTCCTCCTCCTCAACCCTTCTTCCTAACCAGTGGTGATCATCCTCTTCGTTATTCGTTCTTCGGTCTTCATTTCTTTTTTCTTCTTCCTTCGCTCTTCAATTCCTCCTTCTCCTCCTCCTCCTCCTCCTGCTCCTCCTCCTCCTCCTCCTCTTCCTTCCTTCTTCTTCTTCCGTTTTGTTTTTTGTAAGTAGTTAGTATGATCTCCACTCTATGAATTGGTGGCAAGTTTGGTTAAAATGACCCTTGGGTTTTGTTATAAATGGTTTGACAAGTGGTCTGAAAATTGAGGTCTCCGTTAACCGTCTCTCCCTTCCTTCTTCTTCTTCTTCCTCCTCCTCCTTCCTTTTTCTTCCTTCCTCCTCCTCCTCCTTCCTCATTCTTCATCTTCTGCTTTGTACTCTTCTTCTTCTCCTTCTCCTCCTCCTTCACCTCCTCCTCCCTCCTTCGTCCTCTTCTTCTTCTTCTTCTTCTTCTTCTTCTTCTTTGGATCCAGGCTTGGTTTGCCGAGGTGGTGGGTGGTCCCTGGAGATCTTGGATCTTCCAGGTTTAAAGATGGGTAGCCACCGGCATGGCATAAAGAAATGGTCTAAAGATGGTCGGATGTAGCACGATTTTCTCCTTTAAATGGCCACAATTTTCTCCTTTGATGGTCGCGTTTTCCACCCTTTGATTGTCTTTTCTGAAGGGTCCGTATGTAGTTTCTGTCGCATGCATCTTGGAACACTTCTGAAAATGAAGAAGGGAAAAAGAAGGAAGGGGGGGGGGGGGGCCTTTCTGATAGTTTGACAAAAAAAGAGGGAAAAAAGAACAAAAAAAAAAGGAGGGGGGGGGGGGGGAAACAACAACGATAGAGGGAGGGAAATAAGTAGATCGTGTGACCCGCCACTGGGTGTTGTACTATAAGACTGTTTTTCAGAAAAGGCTGGCCCTATAACTGGTACTGAGATACAGTTTCGTGGACTGCGGGGACTGTACTGACTAGACCCATTTCTGGGCACATTTTTTAGCACTTCTCAGTGACTTTGGCTCGGGAATGGTTTCTGGCCGCATGGGCCCAAAATAAATTAGGTTTGTGCTTCTTCGAGCAGGGAAGGGACTGCATACAGCGAACGATTGGGCACTCAAGTGTGCCCTAGGCCCTAGGATGGCACAACAACTTCAAGAAGTACCAAGAAACACACAAATAGGCGTTGTTCAGCGCACATGCACTCTCTCTGGATGCAATTTGCAACCAACGCACACGCTGTTGCACCTAGCAAAACCTCGGAGGTTGCAGCGCATTACCTTCTTCACCCGAATAAAACGTGCGGTCATTATTGCTGCATCTGGACTCAAAGTTGCCCCAAATACAGCTATAATGACCATATGTTACATTCGGGTGAAGAAGGTAGTTATCGTATTCTCTAAGTGCGCTATGGCTTCGGGGGGTTGGGATTTGCTGCGAGGTACGATTGGCCAGGCATGTCAGCAAAACTGCGATGGAATGATGAAGGACTGTGTGAAGAGGAGAGAAAGGGTTCAGGGGCATGTACGGCGGCCAACACTGCACCACACATGGAGAGAAGACAAGGTATAAAAAAAAAAAAAACACTGCAATCCTGCTTTGTCTTCCACAACACCGTTCATATGCGCTCACCCTCTACGCGTTTCGACCCGGGCGCATATCGGGTCTCTTCAAGAGGTCCTTACACCACCACTTGTAGGGGTATAGCCATCTCCGTCGGAAAAACACCATGACATGCCCAGTAGTGAAAGCCACCGTTATGTCTATCGTAATCATCCTCACCCTTATCCTAGCCCTTCTTTCCACCGACATCTCGCCCGTTTCTGCCCTGTCAGTGTGTCATCTAGAAGGTACACCCTTGTCGTACACACGTCACTGACATATGGTGTTCCATCTTCTCGGAGTGGCGCTTACGTACTTATCATCTTTCTTGTGCAGCGTCTGCTAAGTTCGTACGTCTGAGTTTGGGGGACATTCTGATCCGCGTCTTGATCTGCGTGTTGGATCATCCGTGCCCACAGCTCCTTTACCTATTCCGTATCCCGAAAGCACGGAGACGTTAATATCATACTTGCAAGCGGACGCCGTCCGGGCGGTTCCGCACGTGCGGCAGACCGCCGGACCGGACCCGTGCTGCGCACGAATGTGCGCCCGACGACCAGTTACGCCCCACCCCCCCCCAAAAAAAAACAAAAACGGCCCGGTCCGGTCCGGTCCGGGGGGAGGGTGCCGCACGCGGCAAAGCGGACCGGACCGGACGCTCGTTCGGCCCGTCTGCTAGCAAGTATGGTTAATATGCTTCAGGTACTTGCTGGTTAAGGGCAAGAGGAAAATCACTTTTAATTTTTTTACTTTTTAAAATTTTAATCATCTAATGTCTCGTCCATACCAAATTCAAAATGTAACCACGGGGTACCAATCTGGTACCTGGCTATCATAGGTGGTCAAACCTAAGTGTGAATCCTGACGCGAAAACGGGTTGGGGACAGATACATCAAGATGTGCTTGTTCTCCTATACACATTTTCAGTTTGATCCAAGAAAACTCGTGGTACGACAAAAATTTTGGTCTGGAAAACGCGGGCCACAGATTCGAGATCCTTGATAGGCATAAAAACTTGGATCTGGTGGCCTTGGTTCTGGCATAGAGAAAATAAATAAATAAATAACTTAAATAAGCAGATAATAGCCACGAATACCAACAAAAGTTTTTGTACGGTTCAGTGAAGAGAGCTTAAAAAAAAAATTGTACGGTCGAGTAGAGAGTGCCTAAACAATTTTTATTTTTATTTTTTTTGCCTAAACAAATTACTGACATTTGAGCCAAAAAAGTGTGTACGAAGCTTCTGAGAAGTTATCGATTACGCGGCGGAGGGTACACTGTAGGGATCACAGATCCCCAGCACCCTACTGCCACCCTGGCGAACTTCGCCAATGATCCGAGTGAGCGAGCGAGAGAGAGAGAGAGAGAGAGAGAGAGAGAGAGAGAGAGAGAGAGAGAGAGAGAGAGAGAGAGAGAGAGAGAAGGGAAGGATGGGGTTGATACATTATGATGCATTTCTGAGCTATAAAAGATGAGATGAGGACTTGTCCTGTCGGTGGATGGTTGCATACCCTACTAACGAAGACTTGGCTACGCGCAAGTCGAAACGCGTCGAGGGAATGCATAGTACTATCGTGTTTCGCAATTTTTTTGTGCTTTGAACGTATATAATTTTTGACGAGTTTTTCATCCTCTATAGGAGCAGTTGCTTGCTGTTCTGGTTCACACCCTTCATTTCTTTCTTCTTCTTTCTCTTTACTGCTGCTGCCGCTGCTCCCTAATTGTCTTGAACCGCCACTGCCTCTACATATATCTTCACCTCCTCCTTCCTCATCATTCTTCGTCTCGACGCCCTCTGCTTCATCGTCTTTTTCTTCTTCTTCGCCGTCGCCTTGTTCTCCTCCTCCTCCTCCTCCTCCTCCTCCATCCTTTCCTCGTCCTCCTCCATCCTTTCCTCGTCCGCCTCCATCCTTTCCTCGTCCTCGTCCTCCTCCTCCTTCTCCTCCTCCTTCTTCTTCTTCTTCTTCTTCTTCTTCTTCTTCTTCTTCTTCTTCTTCCACTTCTTCTTCTACATCATCTTCTTCTTCATCGCCGTCATCGCCGTTATCGCCGTCATCCTCGTCGTCGTCAACTTCTTCTCCCTCCTCTTGTCCTTCTTTACTGCTGCTGCTGCTGCTCCCTGATTGTCTTAAGCGCCATGGTCTTTATGCAAATCTTCACCTCCTCCTTCCTCCCATTCTTCTTCTTCTGCTTCTTCTTCTGCTTCTTCTTCTGCTATTTCTTCTTCTTCTGCTGCTTCTGCTTCTTCTTCTGCTTCTTCTTCTTCGTCTTCTTCTTCGTCTTCTTCTTCGTCTTCGTCTTCGTCTTCGTCTTCTTCAGCTTCTTCTTCTTCTTCTTCTTCTTTTTCTTCTTCTTCTTCTTCTTCTTCTTCTTCTTCTTCTTCTTCTTCTTCTTCTTCTTCTTCTTCTTCTTCTTCTTTGCTGCTGCTGGTGCTGATGCTTCCTAATTGTCTTAAGCGCCACTGCCTCCATGCCAAAACCGGGCCCCAGGTCGTTAACGACAGGCACCTTTTTCACCTCCAAGGACAGAGCAGTTCTTGAAGGTTGCCACCAAACCCCTATGTGTACTAGCAGGTTGGGATCAGGACGTGGCAAGTTAATGACGAGCTCCTTGTTCACGACAATTGCATCGTGAATTTGTAACTCTAATCACCAGTACTTCAGCACTATGAAATCGTATGAGCGCGCGCTTAAAGACCCCCCCCCGCACTCAAACGCGCTCAAAGCACTTTAAGGCGTGCACGCTCGTCAAAAAAAGAGTGCGCGCGTCATGGGGTTGCGTGAGGGCAGGGGATGCCGTGGGGGCGGTTGCGTGGAAAAAAGAAGTTGGGTGGTTGGGGGCTAGGCTACCAGAGTGGCCCGGGGTCACTTGCCCGGCCAGGCCAAAAAAAAATAATAATAATAAATAAAAAGTTTATTGTCCTTGCACGGGCTGGCCACCCGGGACCCGGGCGGCTCGGCTGGTAGGTTGGGGGTGATTTTTTTGGGGAGGGGGTTGGGTGGGGAAGGTGGTGGCTCTCTCTCTCTCTCTCTCTCTCTCTCTCTCTCTCTCTCTCTCTCTCTCTCTCTCTCTCTCTCTCTCTCTCTCTCTCTC